CAGAGGAATGAAAGGATTTTTTAGCCCTTTTAAAGCAACGATCAACAAACACAGAAGGGTACCCAAGTTTCTGTGCAATAGAACGAATGTGTTTAAATTCGTCGTCAATAAATTCAGAGTCACAAATACGCAGACATCGTAGGAACATAGCAGAAAAAACTGACATTTTGGTAGACTCAAGGTGATTGGATAAAAAGTGAATGAAACTGTCTACCTGTGTGGGCTTTCTATATACCTTAAATTTATAGTTTTGGCCATTTCTCATGATAAGCATATCAAGAAATGGAAGGGATTCACTTATTTCTCTTTCAATTTTGAATGTGATACTAGGGACAATATTATTAAGCTTGTCTAAAAATTCCAAAGGGTCACTGTTTTTAGGCCAAAGACAAAGAACATCATCTACATATCTATACCAAGGAGGAATACAGTCCACTACATTGTAATTATGTAGGTCAGACAGGAAAAACACTGCAGCTCAGAATCAAACAACATAAGTATAATATCAGAACTGCATCTGAAAGCAGTGCCTTGTTCGTTCATGTTAGGAATAATAATCACCCCATTGCTTGGGAAAAAAGCTTAGAAGTATTCAAATCATCTTGTGTCACAGAAAGACTTCTGGTTGAAGCTAGTTTGATTAAGGAATTAAAATCAATAAACCTTAGTGATGGTCAGTTCAAAACTGATAATATGTTACATAAATTTATTTGTCAGTGGCCCAAGGTTAAAACTGCTTTGAAAACCTTTGATCTTGATGTATGACAGTTATTTTGTGGGTCCCTTTTTTCTGACCTGACCTGTCTAGTCACGTCACCACCCTTCTCTTAAGCTCCTCTACGGTTGTGTTGGTGTGGGGATTAGTGGATGTCATCATTATGACCTGACCTCATGTTTTTAGGTCACCCTGTATATTTAAGCCTCTCTCTGTCCATGTAATCTAGTTGCCTCTGAAGATGTCTTGAATAAAGACGAAAGCTAAGGTACTCCGTTGTTTCCATTTTCCCGTGTGATTTTATCAAGATTTATCTTATCCACGTTTTCATTGTGGATTTACATGAGATATATATATATATATATATATATATATATATATATATATATATATATATATATATATATATATATATATATATATATATATATATATATATATGTGAACAAATGGCGAGTGTTCTATCCACTTGGGCGCTGCATATCTAATTATCGATAGCGGATTAACCAAACAAATTAATAATGTAGCTTTATTTTGTTGTAGAAGAATTTATGATTATGTGATACAGTTTGTCAATATTAATGTGTCAAAAATTAAATATAATAATACATTATCCAAAAGTACATCATCTTCATAGTTAATTAACTAAAATAACATATTGGAATTGAGCATAGATTAACCCAGTGTACTTCAGGTGTCATAAAAATAGAGAAATCATTATTTCAACAACAGTGTCAGTATGTTGTGAGTTTAAGTCAACCTTAATAATCTCTGTCCAAGTTTTAGTGACGTTATATCCGGAACGATCAGTTACAGCCTTTAAGACCTAGGTTCAAGTTCTTTCATGGTCGACCAAAAGTTCCTCGACAGACTCTTTGACCTTTAACTTTTATTGTAATGAGGATGGTCAACACAGCTCTCACCACCTTTAATCGATGGTGAATGAGAAACTATTGTCGACGTTCTGTAAACCTCCTACCGGGTTTTTGGGAAGTGAGAATGTTTGGGAATTTGTGCGTGTTAGAATCTTGTACCACAATAACGGGAAAATGACGTCACTTCTATCTTATTTAGCTCAGAGAATATCGCTTTGTGTTGACTTCTCTGTTTTCAATGCATTTTCTTTTGCGTGTTTATCAATGCTCCGACTGAGAACTGCACCTCGGCGAGGCAATATCTTCTCTGCTCCCGAGGTACTACGTGAACCTGACGATGAGGCTGACCTGTGACCAGGCGAAGGTCGTACGACTGTATCCAGTTACATGCTCTTCGCGCAAGCAACTAAACCTCCTTGTACTAAGGAAGTGTTTTGACTCCTTAGGAATCAGGGGGGTGACAAGGATCGTCCGCAGAACAGTGAGTGGTGGCCTTATTGTCACCTCCATGGAATGGGGACAGGCCCAGCAAATAGCCAACATAGTAGAAATTAGCGAGATCAAGATACTAGTGGAAGCTCACACAGAGGACAACTTGGTGTTTGGAGTCATCTCCCACACCGAGATAGAACACCTTGAAAAAGATGAACCAGCCGAGCTGATAGGAGACCAGCTCTCAATAGTACGGAAGCTGACCAGCGTAACTGCACTGGTTGGTTACCCAAAGGATCTACCAAGCACTGTATTACTGGGATGGGAGAACATCCCAGTAAGACCGTATGAAAGAAGACCAACAAGGTGTTACAAATGCCAGAGGTATGGCCATCTGGCAAGGAAGTGTCGAGCTCGGGAGGTCTGTTGCATTTGCGGGACACCCGGGCACCAGCATACCAACTGCTCGGCGGCCGCCAAGAAATGCGCAGCTTGTGGTGGCTCTCATTCCTCCTCCAAGTGGAGGGAGGAGTGTAGGGTGGCTAAACTGCGAAGCAAGAAAAAACTTAGCTACAAGGAGACTCTCCTTGTAGTGAAGACCGAAGAAAAGAAGAATCAAGACCCCAACAAGACCATAGAAAAGACAAATCAAGACCCCCAAGAAGACCACAGAAAAGAAGCCAGAATTAAACAAGACCGTAACATTAAGAACATCAGCGTTTTTAGACTTTTGCGAGAATATACCAGAACAAGACCAAGAAGAAGAATGGAAATTGAAAAGCAAAAAGAACAAAAGGAAGAAGTCCAAAGAAAACGACTCTGGAAAAAAGCAGCTTCGGCCGAAATAGCCTAACGGCGAAGTGGCCAGTAATCCCCAAAACATGGAGCATCAATGCTGGAAATTAAAGAACTTTAACCTGCTAGTCACTGAGTATTAATGTACCAAATTCTTACTTTATTAAACTTTTTGTATATCCATGGTTTATAAAGACGCTGAATATATTTAAACTAGTAATAATCAATCAGTATTACCTGTGTAACGAGTGTGTGTGTGTGTGTGTGAGGGGGGTGGGGGTGGGTGGGCACTGTAGCTGCTATTGTGTTTCCTGTGTTTTAGAATGCCTGAGTGTGTTTTGTTGCCGAGTCTTTTGGAAAAATATAAAATGACCAGATATGTATCTCCCTTGAGTTTTAATTGTTAACGCCTGGTTTATGATCTTCGAATATCAGCTGAAACACTTTATAGTTGTTCAACTTCAGTAAAACATTATAACATCAACGAGGATATTAAAAAAAGAAAAAAAAATCCTCTAGGCAACAAAAGCTCACCACAAACACTGTCCAGGAAACATTCACCTCCTTCACAAATTTTCTTCACAACGTCTCTGCAAGTGTTCATCAGGCACACGCCATCAACCCAGCCTCCTTGTGACTTCACAGACTGTCTGTGTTAAGAAATTTGGAAGCACCAAAAGATTACACACCTGCGCTGATTTCACAGGAATATTAACCATCCTAAAGCTAACCTACCCAGCCTAACGCTACCCTAACCTGCCTTAACTAACCTAACCTACCCTAACCTAACATGACCTACCTTAATCTATCCTGATTTAACTTAACCTAACCTACCCTAACTTAATCTATCCTGATTTAACTTAACCTAACCTACCCTAACTTAACCGAATACTAGCCTAATCCCTCTGGTAGGCACAGGGTAATTAATTTTCAGGCGAAATAAACTGGGTTGTGTAATCTTTAGGTGATAAATACAAGGAAGCCAGTTTCTAAGATGTGTGTTTTTACACAGAGTTCAAAAAATTTCGTGACATTGTTTCTGAGGAAAACGCACACACACACACACACACGCACACACACACACACACACACACTACTACTTAATATTAAATATCCTAATACATAAGCAGCTATCCTAGCTGTGTTGAGTTAGTTGAGCCGCAGATCTACGCGGCATTAAGTGAATGTAGCCTCATAGTCAATATCTGCAACTGATGTCGGCTTTGGGGCCGATGCTCTCGTTCCCCTGAGGCAGAGCAAAGCCGACCGAAGGAGAGAGAAGGACAGTCGACATCTCATCCAGGCTGTAACATAACTTCTGGGCTGTTGCTTCTGTTCGGATATCACCTCCGCGAGTCTGGAGTAGAAGCATCTTGCACTTGGTCCCATCCCACCAGAGGCTGTGAACACTAGAGGAGTGAAGCTGCCTTGATCAACGTTCTCCCTGTCCCCGCGTCCAGAATCCTCGAGCACTGACGTCAACACGGACTTCGTTGGATGTGTTTGAAGTCCTATGTTGGCAAATCTCACCGGCCAATGGAAGGAGGGTCGGTTCTACCCTGACATCACGGCAGATTTCCTTCAACATATTTGCTGTGAGATCCCTTACTTCGTCATGCCTCATGCATATGAAGCCCCCTTATTTGCACACCATGGCGTGATCGACGTCATAGGAAGAGCCACACACGCATTGGGAGGGCAAACCTTCTACTGGCCTACCGTACCTTAGAGCAGTTGTTCTTAACCTTTTTTGAGTCACGGACCCCTTTGAGTATCTGGTGAAAGCTATGGACCTCCTCCGTAGAAAAATGCACATAAGCACATAAACACTCGATTCCATCCTGCAGAAGCACTTCCTCTGACATTGATAAGTTTGCATAGTTGTCTGCCTCCAACCTCCTCTTGCACAGTGGCAGCTTGGCCAGAAAAGCTTGAAGTCTTTCAGCAGCATCCATAATGGTGACTCCAGGGCCTTGAATCGCAAGATTCACCTCATTCATATGGCCAAAAATATCCTCCAAGTAGGCCAAGCCCTGAATGAACGCCTCACTCTCAAACTGTTCTGAAAGTGGGCTTTCTTTTTTGATCTCAAAAAAAGTGAAACTTCTGCTCGAAGTTCAATCAAGCGCTTCAAGATTTGTCCTCTGGAAAGCCAGCGAACTTCTGTGTGGTAGGGAAGAATTTCATATTCTGCTCCCATTTCTTGACAAAACCTCTTGAAAACGCGATAGTTCACAGCCCTGGGTCTGATGAAGTTGACGACTTTCACGAGTAGAAAAGACTTCTTTCAGAATTGCTGGCAGAGTCTTTGACGCCAATGCATGCCGATGTAGAAAACAATGGGTCACGATGACCTGAGGAGCTTCTTTCCTCACCAAAGCAGCAAAACCAGATGTGTTGTCAAGCATCGCAGGTGCTCCGTCTGTGCACAGAGTACCAAGATTTTTCTTCCAGTCGAAGTTTTGCTTAGCAAAGAAACTATTCACCATTTCTGAGATGTCGATGGCCTTTGTAGTTTCCAAAAGGGGCTCACAAAATAGGAATTCTTCTTTGATGGCATCAGCATGCATATGACGGACGAAAACCAGGAGCTGGCTGCACTGAGAGACGTCAGTAGTTTCATCCAGTTGCATGCTGAACGGAAAAAATATAGTGAATATAAATGTTAAAATTTTATCTGACCTTCACGGATCCCCTGAAGCCCACCCATGGACCCCCATGGACCCCAGGTTAAGAACCCCTGCCTTAGAGCATTGGCATCTGTAAATTCTTGTTTATTGAGACTGAAACCATTTGCCCTTATCGGTAACGTAGTTAACCAGTTCGAGGCGACCACCTCCTGTCCAATAGCTACTTTTTTTTACAAATTCTCTAGTACTTGCACCTACAGTTGCTGCAACTTACCACTCTGGCTGTGCTGTCGTTCTGTCGTAATGGACCTTCGCGTCTTGTTTACTTCACTGGTATTCACCTCCCCTGTTGCGTTCTGAGCTATTATATGGTCCGTGAGGGCTGCCGTGAGCTTAACTGAGTTTTGATGCTCGGTGGCAGCAATCTCCTCTGGATTGGTCAATCCCTTACCTTGCAGTCTCGGTGGTAGTGCAAGGAGTGATCTTTCTGCTGGGGCTAAGTGAGGGTGTTTCACTAATTTGGGAATGAAATTGATGCTGATAGCTTCTTCCAGAGGGTGGAGGAATAGTGCGCATCAGGTAGTTCCAGCAATGCTTGACTCCATGAGTGATTGCTGCCAAAGCCGCATGTGGCTCTGTGTTAGCAATTTCAGACAGAGCTTGGATTTCCCTAACCTTCTCATTCACCATTCCCGTTACGTACTCGGTCTTGAAGTCCGTCGTGCCGATTACTGCGCCTAGGTGTCTTTGGCCTTCCTTGTTATTTTGACCTCACTTCCACTGAACACCTCCATTGCCTGTTCATAATGTTCTGACTTTACAATGAGGAAGTAATTTCTTTCGTTTGGGTGGTACCCTATTTGTGGGCTTCGTGTTGTTACCAGGTCCCACCACTTTTTGATCTCCTCCACTTTTCCTGCTCCTGTAAGGTCATCAGCATACGCCACTTGCTTGACCTCAGTTGTTTCAAATTTTATTGTGTTGAAGCTCGGATAGGCCTATTGCGTACATTGCCATTGCAACAGGGTCCCCCTGCGTTGTTAACTCGGTTGATTGTCTGATGGTATCACCTCTTAGAGCCTTGTTGTTTACTATATAGAGGTCTGATTGATTCCTATAGGAGTTTTCAACATACATTGCAAAGCTTGGACACTTGAACTTGATGTTGTGCAGTGTGGCCTTGCGGTTAAGTATGTTGAATGCGTTTGAAGCGTCCACCACGAGAACGGCCTCATAATTACGCTGCTCAAATATCGTTCTCATGGCGTGAATGGCAGCTTCCCCTCCAGCCTGGTGGCCAGCACAAACTTGCAGGTTCCCTGCTGCTGCCCTGACATCATCCTTTACCACCTCCATTATGCATTTTCCGATGATCCGCCTCAGCACTTCCCCCACCCCTATAGGCCTAAATCCTGGATTCTTATCCAGGGGAATGAAGCGGCAGGCCATCAGAGCATGGAGGTGTTGGCAGCACGAGGATGCCAGCTTTATTGCAAGAACGGCAATGGCAGTGCAGAGATCACTTGCTGAGGGCCAAACTTGTTAGCGCTGAGGATGACTCTCCAACCGCTTGCATCCAGTCCTGAAGGGCAGGCACCTCCTCGAGTCTTCAGTGCCTTTTTCCACACCATCCCTCTTGTTATTTTCTCGAACAGGACAGCATTTGGTGGGATATAGTCACCCTGGAACCTGATGCCTTCGTCTTCCCTTGCAGGGGGATGTTTTTCTTTCAGTTGTTTTAATGTCTCTCTGTTTATTGGCAGCAGCCCACCAGAGGATTCCTCTGTGAGAGATCTTACCGCCAAAGATTTCTCGACAAAATAGATCAGCGTTTTTACAGATATATAGGGCCAAGTACAGAAACATTTAGCAGCGTCACGCGCTGAAATAGGTGATGCTGTTATGGTGAGAGAACCTGAAAGGAACTCTAAGCTTTCAGCTAAATTTTCTGATCCATTCCGCATTATCGGCAAAGAAGCGGGCAAAAAATTTAAAATTTGGAAGCCTAATGCACAAACCGCAGATGTAGTGCATGAGGGCCAACTTAAAAAGGGCCATCCAGATTTATTACCCAAGAATGGTAATGATGTCATAGACACATCTTTTCAACCAGTACACATACCAAGTGTACCTAATGATTATCGTTAAAATCTTCGTTCTGCAAACAAATATTAAAACACATTGAAACTTTTACAGCATGGCTTGGATCATCACTGTACTGCTCCTAGTGTTTTGTGGCACCTCTGTGTTGACTGGTATGTCCACGGAAATCTTTAAGCCAGGTGCGCTTGTTGCACCCCTTGGACGCGTTTTCATTGTTGAAGACGTGGTGAACATAAAATATGAGTTGCATGGACTGCTCAAGTTTCCAAGCCAGATGGAATCCATTGATGCTCAACTGCAGAGAGCTTTGACTGTCCCTGATGATCTCTGTAAGAATCGAAACAGCTCGGCAATGGTTTCACAAACTGTTGATCTTCAGCTATTTCGTCTCAGAACCCTTCACAAGATTATCGTGGCAGTTGGACACACTATTCCAGCGTCTAAGGATGATCTTGCACAGAAAATGCTTTCCCAAACGAGAAGAAAGCGAGGATTGTTTAGTTTTGTTGGTCTTATACAAAGCACTCTATATGGCACTGCGACTGCCGAGGATGTAGCTAAACTAGGAGACCGCCTGAACATTGTTAATCAAGCCGTTCTTAAACAAAATCTTGCTATAACTCAAACTTTTCATGCAATTAGTGCCCTGGAAACAAAAGTTCATGTGATTATTCCTGAGTCTAACCATTTATCTAGGGTTGTTTATAAGTTAAGGAATTCAGTCCCGAAGTTGGAGTGGCTCCTTTATTCTTCTGAGTATTTGCATGCTGCAGAAAGTTCTGCTCAAGATATAATTACTAACAAAAATTAACTATTCGCAAGCATCGTGGATGCAGAGTTAGGACTAGTGGATGCAAAGCTTGTGCCTGTGAAGACTCTTCTTGAAGCATTACAAATAGCCAAATTGAATTATCTTTTAACTCCAATTTTCACAGACTATGAGGTAGAATAACATTACCCTCTGTTGGAGTCAACTCTCACGCACAATTCTATTCTTATCCACATACCTATGCTAGGGCAACATAAATTTAAAGCATGGCATTTGGAACCCTTCCCTTTGTATTTTAATGACACACTGTATACTCTGGATAGACCAAAGGAACTTTTGCTAATTGACGAAAATTATACCTTGTTAGCATTGGATGATCCTAGGATATTGTCACGGTGTAAATCGTTATTTTTACATTTACACATACAGTATGTCCAGCCTATGTATTTGCATTTATTCCTGCTGCAGAAGGGATATGTGAATTGGCAGTCATACACACTAACGTAAGCACAGTGCTAACACAATGTAGTTATAGACTGGTTTCTATAAATCTGTGTTTCATGAGCATCTGCATACTGTGCAATATTTTTTTATTCTTTCCTGATGAAACTAACGTTATTTTTAAGTGCCAAGATGGTGGTAAGCAATTAGTTGTGTAAGGTTATTATAAGGCTCCTGATTACTGTGAAATAATTTGTAGTTCATTGAGGACCTTGCCTTCTCATCAGCATTTTGCATTGAATTTAAATCTTACTTCAGATTTAATTCCACTGTTTCAAGTTCCTAATTTACCTATTAGTAAACTCAATATTGTCTCAGAGAAGTTGAAAATTATTTCTTACTTGAAAGAGTCACATTTTGCTAATTTATAAGATGATTTGCCATTTTATTTTTCACTGGGATTTGCAATACCAAGTTTAACCATTCCTACTATTATGTTAATTCTGGCAGTGATATTTTGATTTTGTTATTATAAGTCAGTATCTTCCAAGTTGAACATTGCACATAATATAGTATCCCGTAAGACAGTTAAGTCTAGGACCCCAGTAATTAGTGAACCTATGGTTCTAGAGTCCCCAGCTTAGTGTCTACACATGTTTGTAACATGGTTAGGTTTATGTATAGGATGTATTCTATGAGACTAGTTAATTCCTCATGGAAGCTCCGAAGGTGGTGACCGAGCGATGTATTAGCCCCTTAGTTCTTATATAAATGTCAGGGCAGTACATTAAGTTTATATAATCATATCACCCCCTGTAACTTTCCACTGCCTATGAGGTTACATGATCACATCGCGTGATGGGTAAGTTCCTTGAGGAGCGGCCCTAAGAATCCTAGGTCAGGACAGAGAAGCCGGCTACTGCAGGCACTCTCACTCAACCACTCACATCAACAGGACATATTTTAGAAGTGCTATTTAACATAGCCTCCGTCCTCAGTTAACACTCATAGCACCAGTGATTAAGTTACGGTAATATACACTTGGAACTGTATATAATATATTTTCTTAATAAATACAAAAAAGACAGTTGGCTCCTGGGCCATTACCCCTCAAGAATCAATGATTAAGGGCCAGTTCACTACAGGGCTGTAGGAAGTGTGCCCGGGGAGCCGGCCAGGCCCTCTTTCCTTGGGAGAAGGTGGGCCTTGACCTCCAGTCGATCTGGATGGCGGCGGCTGGGAGGAACAGCTCCCCCATCACCTCCCCCTCGCAGGCTCCTGTAGTTTTATCCCCCCTGGATGACTGGGTGCCACACGAGTTGATTGAGTTCCTGTGGGCTACGAAATTAACCCAGTCCTCTCTCCCAGGGCAGACCTCTCAGGTAGCCCAGGCCACCCTGACCAACGACGCCATGGAGAGGCAGAAGTCCTCCCTCTCACCATTACAACAACTGGTGTGGCTGGGGATGGAGTGGGACACCTCCACTGCTTCCCTCCGCCTCTACCCAGACAATGCATGGCGAATACTCCGGCGCCTCTTTTTCGCCCCAATGTTGGCCAGCTTCACTAGCCGCTAGTGGGAGATCCTCCTAGGCTCCCTCAACTACGAGGCGGAAGTGGTACCCCTGGGTTGTCTGCTTCTCCACCGCCTCACCAGGGACATCAATGCGGTTATCCTGGTCGAACCCAG